ACCATGGGAGGTTGACTGAGTTTCTGGGTATTGAAGTGACTCAAACCGAGGAGGGTGTGTTCATCAGCCAAGAGAAATATGCAAAGGACGTGTTGTTCAAGTTTGGCTTTGGCGGAGCGAACAAGTGTGGGAACCCCATGGAGTCCACCACGAGACTCGCACCAGCTACGGAGGACGACAGCTTCGACTCCAGCTTTGACTACCGGGAGCACTGGGCATACTCATGTATCTCACGACCAGAACCAGGCTGGATCTGGCATTTGCACCCGGCCATTGTTGTAGATTCGTTGTAAACCTGACTGTGAAGCATGTGGCAACGCCCAAGTGCGTCCTACGATACCTTGTGGGCGCTCAGGCGCACGGTATTATGTACAAGAAGGGATCTGGGGCCCGTACGGAGCTGACTCTGAGCGAATTCGTGATAGTGATTGAGGAAGTGACCCCGAGACCATGAAGAGCACGAGCGGGTTCGTCTTTATGCTGGCGAGTGGAGCGGCGACATGGATGTCCAAGCGTCAGTCGATTGTGGCTAAATCCACGGCTGATGCTGAGTATGTTGCTGCATGTGAAGCTGCTATGGCAGCGAAAGCGCAGCTCAATATCCTGTCTGAGATATTCCCGTCCATGCACGTGCGACTGGTCATCGGTATCGACAATAGTGCGGCACACGTGATGGCTACCAGCCCGACTTATTCGCGACGCATCGAGCTGCGTTGGCACTTTGTGCGTGACCAGGTGCAGCGTGGTCTGATTAAGCTCGTGAAGGTAAATGGAGAAAACAACTCATCACCAAGCCACTCGATAAGGTTCGACTAAACAAGCTGTGTGGTATGACGGGGATGATGAACCAGCCGCATGACAATCGAAGCTAAGGGCTTCAAGGAAGGCGTGTTGACCAACGGATCCGGATACGATTATCCGGATGGCCGTTGGCGGTTGAAGTGCCCTAAGGGTTTCTCTGAGCCTCGGGGGGGGGGTCTCGGTAGGTGCATATTCTAGGAGCTAGTGCAGGGAGAATGCCTTGGTTCT